ATAGGAGTCAAAACAGCCTGGTATTGATATTAATGACAGACACATAGACCAAGGCAACAGACCTGAGAACCCAGAAACAGATCCGTCCACCTATGGTCAGCTGATTTTTTTTTTCTAGTCTACACAGACCTTTTATTAAGTCTTTTTCTTTTATTTTTAAATGCATTTTACTGAAATGTAATTCATGTACAGTGAAATACACAAAACTAAAGTGACATGGGTCAGTGCTTTTTTTTTTTTTAGCAAAGTTCCCTCCACTCCCTTCCCACCCCTGGCAACTAACAAAGAAAGTTTCCCTCCATATAAACCTTTCCTTGACCCTCCACAACAATGAACTAATACTATATTTGTCCTTCTGTGATTGACTTCTTTCACTCAGCATAATGTCCTCCAAGTTCATCTATATTATGTGGTGTTTTGCAGACTCTACATTTTTCTTTAGTGCTGCATAGCATTCCATTATGTATATGTACCATAGTGTGGTCATCCACTCTTCTGCTGATGGGCACGTAGGTTGTTTCCATCTTTTTGCTATTGTAAATAGTGCTGCGATGAACATGAGTGTGCATGTATCTCTTCCTGTCCTGGCTCTCACCTCTCTAGGATATATACCTTGTAATGGGATTGCTGGGTCAAATGGTATCTCCAATTCCAGCTTTCTAAGGAATCACCATATTACTTTCCACAGTGGCTGTATCCCTTCACAGTCCCACCAGCAGTGTATGAGAGTCTCAATCTCTCTACATCCCCGCCAGCATTTGTTATTTTCTATCTTGTTGACCTTGCCATTAGTGCTGGGGTGAGTCATTATCTCATTGCTGTTTTAATTTGCATCTCTCTGATGGCCAATGATTGTGAGCGTCTCTTCATGTATACCTGGCCACCTGAATATCCTCCTTGGTGAAGTGTCTATTCATGTCTTCTGCCCTTTTTTCAATTGGATTGTTAATTCCTTTGGTGTTGAGGCACTGGAGTTTTCTATAAATCTTGGAGATAAGTCCCTTGCCAGATATGTAATTATTGGCAAATATGAATTTGTTGCTGTCATTTTTGTTATGTGCTTTTTCGTGGTGTCGATTTCTTTGTTCCATATAATTTTCTATGCTGAGCTCATTTTGTTTATGAATTGTGTTATCACTTCCTTTGTTGCTATTGTTTTAGTATTTTTTAATATTTATGCTGGTCCTCTTTTTTATTTTGATGTGAAGGTTTATCATTTTTCTTTCAGGTAACTCTGTGATTTATAGTTTTCTTCCCAAGTTTAAAACAGTCTGTTCTATCTTATAGTCGTCTTGACTTTCCTACCATCTAGAAGTTCTGTAACAACAGTTTTTTCCCTCTTTTTGGTTTGTAGTTGTCCTCATTTGCCAATTGATGTCTCTAGTTCCCTATTTACAATTTTGTAGGCTTATTTACTTTGGATACTTCCATAGCTGGGTTGGTTTCTGGGTTATATCATCATGTGTGTTAATGGCAGTTGTTGTTGGCTGTTGTTGCTTCTCTGTCCAAAGGGCTCCCTTTAGCATCTCTTGTAATGCTGGTCTGGTTTTAACAAATTCCCTTAATTTCTGCTTATCTGGAAATGCTTATCTGATGCTTATCACCATCATATTTGAGGGACAATTTTGCTGGGTACATAAGTCTTAGTTGTAAATTTTTCTCTTTCAGGGTTTTATATATACCATCCCATTGTCTTCTTGCCAGCATGGTTTCTGCCGAGAAATCCGAGCTTAGTCTTATTGGTTGCCCCTCGTAGGTAACTTTCTGTTTTTCCCATGCTGCTCTCATGATCCTTTCTTTGCCTTTGGTGAGTTTGATGATGATTATGTCTTGGTGATTTTCTTTTGGGATCTATCCTGTTTGGGGTTCATTGGACTTCCTGAATGGATATATTCTCATCTTTCATCATACCAGGAAAATTCTCTTCCA